TGTGCCTAGTGGTGGGCACAGTGGCAGGCACAGTGGTGGGCACAGTGGCGAGCACAGTGGTGGGCACAGTGGCGGGCACGGTGCTCTGAGCCTCGCTCTCTGCTGGTGCGGTGCCAACCTCCCCAGGGGCAGCCTGAGGAACAGGCTGGCTACGTTGCGGCCGCAGTCGGGTGGCTATGATGAACTTGAGAAAGGCTTGGGCATCCTCAAGAGTAGACATGTATCCAAATGAAATCCTCACAGACCCTGTCGGCTGCCCATCTACCAGGTCCACGTCATCTCCACAGACATGACCAGCCTGGAAGAGAAGGGAACGAAGTCAGCTGCTCCTCACAGATAGATTTCGTTCATCTTGTAAATAAAATGGACCCAGAAAATGGAATCGCCCCTCTAACCTGGGCTGCGTGCCTGCGACGTCGTCCCACAAACAGGGCTCCCTGTTTAGATCGCCCTTTGCTCAAGTGCAAATTGGGGCAACACTGATCTCAAGGGGCCATTAAAAGCTTAAAGCAGTGGTTCTCAACCTTCTGCTGCGTGCCTGCGACGTCGTCCCGCAAGCAGGGCTCACTGTCTAGATCGCCTTTTGCTCAAGTGCAAATTGGGGTCAACACTGATCTCCAGGGGCCATTAAAAGCTTAAAGCAGTGGTTCTCAACCTTCTGGCCCTTTAAATATAGTTCCTCATGTTGTGACCCAACCATAAAATTATTTTCGTTGCTACTTCATAACTGTAATGTTGCTACTGTTATGAATCGTAATGTAAATATCTGATATGCAGGATGGTCTTAGGCGACCCCTGTTCAATCGCCAAAGGGGTCGCGACCCACAGGTTGAGAACCGCTGGCTTAAAGGAAACACTTCGAGGAAAGCATCTACCAGAGCTGTGAGCTGCGCACAGAGCCGACTGGCAGAGAGGGGTATGGAAAGATGACCAAAGCTCCCGCAGTGCCCAGGGCTCACCTTCAGGGTCCACCCAGGGCTGAGGTGGGAGGACACCCGCTGGCCACACCCTCAGCCTCTCAGAACCAGGGAGGCCTGCATCCCTGGCAGCTGCCCTTTGAGCTGCTGCCCTATGAACCACCCTCCTGAGGCCACTACGAGAGCCAAAGCCGAAGGAAGTTTGAGGGTCCCTGCTGGGCGGCGGGGGAAGAAAGGCTAGAGGTCCCGTGCCTCTCAGAGCTCAGCTCCCTGGTACTGGTCACTGCCCAGTTCGCCCCCTCCCAGCACCTAATCCGGGTCAGTCCTCCAGGGAGGTGGGGCCCGGCATTCATTCCACAGGATCAAGCATCACACCTGGACTTCCTTGTTTGTGTTCTGAGCTTCCCTCTCTCTCTTCTCAAATAAAACCCGGTCGTGGTTGGTCGGGATCTAATATATGCGATATTTACTGGCAACCACACAAAACTCAAGTTGAAACTATTTCTAAATAAATAAGGGCTCTCTGCCACTAAAACTGTTATGAAAGGGTTCCAAGCAGCTTTCCCTTGAAGCGAAATCCTCAGTGCAGTGGGCGGGGGGTTCTGTTGGATGCAGAACGCCCCCCTCACCCAGCCCAGGACGAGGGGACTCCAGCTTGGAGATGTTCACCCTGATCGGGCTGGACTAATTAAGGGCCCCCTGTCAAAATCCCTCTCCAGCCTTTACATTTTGCCTTCAAAGTAAAAAATGACTCATGGAGATACCATCCCGAAGCATTTTCCATGTTTGTTGATCTGCTTCCTTTGCACATCCACAGGGTGGGCTTAGAAAATGAGCCAGCGCCCACCCGACACGAGGCCAGCCTCTGGGATTCTTGGGGGCACCACCCTGGGGTGTTGCTGGCAAGCATCTGGGCCTCTGGGCCGCAGGGCCTGACACCCACCTGAAGGTGCTTCTTGACCATCTCGTCGCTGATCCCCAGGTGCCGCTGGCAGGCCCCCGTGTTGCAGAAGCAGCCGGTGCGCACCTGGATGTTGAAAAGACTGGCCATCTTCTCCACCTGCGGGTTGAACGTGACACGGAGCCAGGTGAGGAATGACCGGTGTTACTCGATGGCCTGGGAGAGAGTTTCAGGTCACTATCTGGACCTCTCTTTCCTAACAATAAAATGAAAACAGGAGCCTGCAAGTTTGCGCTAAAGTGCCATGATCTTCACAAGTTTACTAAACACATTGTATAAGATGTTACTGATCATTAAGGTTTATCCAGTGGGACAGAGATGTTTGCCTGAGAAAAGAGAAAGTATCGCCCTGGCCAGGTAGCTTGATTGGTTAGCAGGGGTCCTCAAACTTTTTAAACAGGGGGCCAGTTCACTGTCCCTCAGACCGTTGGAGGGCCGGACTATAGTTTAAAAAAAAACTATGAACAAATTCCTATGCACACTGCACATATCTTATTTTGAAGTAAAAAAACAAAACGGGAACAAATACAATATTTGTATTTGCATGTGGCCCGCGAGCCATCGTTTGAGGACCCCTGGGTTAGAGCGTCATCCTGATACACCGAGGTTGGGGGTTCAGTCCCCGATCAGGACACATACAAAAATCAACCAATGAATGCATAAATAAGTGGAACAACAAACCTTTCTCTCTCTCTCTCTCTCTCTCTCTCCCTATCAAGAAAAAATACTTTTAAAAAATACAGAGAGAAAGTATCGAGTGTAGGCCAAAATTCCAAGTTAGGGCCCACACATTTCAAGCGAGATGAATAAGTACAGAACCTGAGCACGACATGGACAGCCCCTTGGCACCCTCTGCCACAGGGTTGATTCCAGAGCAGGCCCAGCTGAGCTACCACTCAGAGCAGCTCACAGCCTGGACTGAAGACATTACTGTATTGAGCTTGTGTGTTATCAATTTGCTCTTCATAATGTCCTAACTTTGGGCTGAATCCCAGAACTGCTGTTCAATCCAGAAGTTCCAAGGCACTTTCCTGTCCCCCTGGCAGCGCAGGGAGGTAATTCACATTCACTCAAGACACACAGGCAGGGTTAGCATGGGGGGCATTTGTCCCAGCTCCTCTGCTGTGGGCCACGGGCTCCATTCCTCCAAGGGCCTGGAGGCCCAGTGAGGGGCCTCAGCCCCGGTGACTCAGGTTAAATTCAGGGGAGTCACCTAACTGTGTTCAGGGAGACAAATACATCTTGACCAGTGGGGTAAGCCCTTGAAACTCTCCTCCCTGGGAAGTCACATGTTGGGTCGCCAGAGCAGCCGCGAGGATAGGGCGCCCTCTGCAGACCACAGGTCGCCTGGGCCAGCCTGGGCCAGCCTGGGCCCTGGCTGGGCAGTGCTGGCAATGGTACCTCTCTTGTCAAGACCATAGCTGTCTCCCCTGGACTATCAGAATGAGAAGAGGCTATTCTCTGGACTGAACCAAGAGGCCTCCAAAAACAACTCCACTCCTTTAGCCCTGAGGAACAGCTCAGTGATGTGGAAATCCGATCATGACATCTCGGGAATCTGAGATGAGACCTGGCAGCACCTCTGGGTCTGGCCAACCCCATTCCCAGGATCGGAGGAAGGGATTTGTTGCAAATAGCGCCCTCTGGTGGACAGTCTGAGAACAGCACTCTAGTAAGGGATTAGTGGCAATGGTGCCCCTAGGGAAGCGCCTCACTCCCCCACCCCAACTCCCGCCACACTCAATCAGATGTCACCCGTGGCACCTTTCTCCCTACCCACTCCCAGTTATCATTGCTGCGAAGCAAGCCACCCAAACTTGGTGGAATAAAACAACCATTTTATTTTGCTCTCAACTACAGTGGGTCAGGAATTGAGAAAGGGCACAGAGAGGGTGACCTGACTCTGATTCTTAATTTCTCAAGTCTCGGTTGGGAGGACTCAAAAGCTGAGAGTGAGGTGGCATTGGAGGTTGGAATCACCTGGAGACTGACTCATGTGTGCAGCTGGCCTCCCCAGCTAGGCGGGCTCAAAACAGCACTGCCACCATATAGTGCCCACCCTTGGCCTCTCCCCGGCTTGGCTTCCTCACAGCAGGACAGCCTCAGGGTAGAACTGCTTACATGGTCACTCAGGGCTCCAAAAACAGGGAACAAGGCCAACATGGCATCAGTTTTCCTGACCTAGCCTCCAAAGGCATGCAATATCACCTGGGACATTCTATTGGTTATGAGCAAGTCGTAAACCCACCAAGATTCAAGGGGAAGAGACAGGAACCCCACCTAGAAGAGGATGTAATAGAAGATGCTGTTTGGGCCATACTTTCCTTCATCCAAATTTCCCATCATGGCTGAGTTTTCTCTCCCTCTCAACCCTGCTGAGTCCCACACAGGCCTGTTCTGTGCCCAGCGAGGTGAAGGTTGCTGTGGCTGGATGAGCCCTGCATCCAGGGAGGGTGAGGAACAGGCCTGACCACCAGGTAGCACCCGAGACTCCCCGCCCAGAAGCCTTTGTGCTCAATGTTTATTGAGCGTTTGCTTCATCCCAGGCCTTGTACTAAGGGGCTGTCTGTGTCTCTCGTTTAATCCTCATGACAACACCATCAGCAAGGTGCATTGTTACCCCCACTTCATATAGACATGGGGAGTTTGAATTAACTTCCCCAAGCGCCCAGAGCCAGCAAGAGGCAGTGAGAATCTGAATCCAGAATGAAAATGGGAGGCCTGGATGTCTAAAACACGAACCCAAAGGCTTCTCAGAGAAGGCTACATTTTTTTTGCACACCCCGGAAAGAGACAGCCAACCCCAACCAGGACACCATCTGGTCCCCACACTGCGAAGCTCCCTCAGCCCAGGAGGAACACAGCGGAGCTTCCTACACCAGCACAGCTGGCCAGGCCTCAGCCCTGGAATCTACGCGTGGGACCAGCTTCCTCTACAAACGCACAGAGGGAGACACTTGGCTGTGGGAATGACATTCCTGGTGAAGTCAGTGAGGTGCCTGGACAGGCAGCTCCCTCTCCCTGCCGGTCCCTCTTCTTTGAAGCATCTCTGAGCAAATGGGAATTCTTTCCCCGCACTACCTGCCACAGCACACTTCACACCATCTTCCTCTACCCCTCAGGAAACATAAACTGAGTTTAGGTTTAAGAAGAAAACTTATTTTCCCGACCGGCGTGGCTCAGTGGTTGAGTGTCGACCTATGAATCAGGAGGTCACGGTTCGATTCCCATTCAGAGCACATGCCTGGGTTGCAGGCTTGATCCCCAGGGTGGGGCATGCAGGAGGCAGCTTATCAATGATTCTCTCTCATCATTGATGTTTCTATCTTTCTCTCCCTCCCCCTTCCTCTCTGAAATCAATACAAATATATATATATATTTTTTAAAGAATAAAACTTATTTAACCAATGACCTAGAATAGCATATCTAGGAAGACAAACCTTTTGTCTCCATGCATTTTTCACACACACACACACACACACACACAATTCAAATTACATGCTTCTGAGTAGTTTTGGGGCTGCTTCTTCAGGTGTATGGCTAAGGGGCTCTAGGGGGTCTGCAGTCAACCTACCCAAGAGATGGTTGTGTCCCCAACACCAGTGAAAACCCAGAAGAATATTTCTCAAGTTTATTCCTCAGAAAGTTTGTGGCTATTCAGAAGAGGAAAAAATTATTCCTTGAGAAATGGATTTTGTTTGAGAAATTCTGGGTTTGACAAAGGTGTGTGGGGATAGCAGCTTTCCAGGGAAGAAGGCAACCGTCTTCCAAAGGTATCTGATGGTCACATCTGCTCCTCGAAGAGCAGCTGCAGGAGCCCGGGCTCCGGGAAGGACCGGGGCTCCCCACGCCCAGTCTGTAACACCCCATCCGGTGACCGCCAACCGCCATGTCTGAGTGCTTGGTGTGACTTCGGACTTTTTAAAAGACTGGCCAGTGACCAGCTTACTCAACTATGGCAAGAATGCAAGCAGTTCCTGACCCACAGAGCATTACTAGCACTGTTTTCATGAGAAAATAGACACAAAGGATATACCTGCAGAAGCGCAATCTACCAACGCCTTTGAACTCATGCTATGCGTGAACCGTGGCACAAGCAAGGGCTTCTGTGGTACTAAGGATGTTGTTTCCACTTGTCATAAATAAGCAGTTCCTGACCTACAGAGTACTGCTAGCACTGTTTTCATGAGAAAATAGATACAAAGGATATACCTACAGAAGCGCCTTTACAACCAGCCTACCAAAGCCTTTGAACTCATGCTATGCGTGAGCCGTGGCACAAGCAAGGGCTTCTGTGGTACTAAGGATGTTGTTTCCACTTGTCATAAAAAAAGAGAGAGAGAGAGAGAGTTCTGAGTTGCAAGCAACATGCAAACAAATGGTGAGAGCGCGCCTATGACTTTGCATGACACTGTGATATGCTCTCGAGTGCCACTGGGCCTATACATCAATGACCTGTGCATCAATGACCTCGGACATGGTGCTTGGTCTCCACTGCTTTCCTGTCCACATGACTTTAGGGCATCCTCTTTGCTAGCAGCTCTGTCCCTTTGCACTGCTGTCAGAGACGTGCCTCTCTCTTCCCACTTGCAATTGACTACTGGCTGGATAAAGAGGGCTGAAGGACTAAGCAGACATGCTTGCAAAGAGCTTCCTAGGCAGGGGCCTGGCCTCCGCAGCCGAATCTGGGCTTCGTCACAGCTCCTGCCAAGGTCCGGAGGCCTTGACTGCACGTTTCGGGATTGGGGAGGCTGCCGAGTCCCAGACAAGAGCGATCCTGCTGTGAACAGGTGGGTGCGATGGAAAGAAAACCCACCTGGGAGTAACCAACGACGTTCCCGCTGGCGTCGAGCACGTTAAAATTGATGACTGGGCCCTGCACCTCGGGGCTGCGGAACTCAGAGTCGCTGTAGATGCGCACCACCGGGGCCCCGTTGGGGTACCGGAGGGAGCACAGGGCGGCGTAGGTGTACCGAGCCAGGGTGAAGGTGTGCTGCTGCACATTCTCCATGCCGCCTCGAACACAGGAGAAAACGCCAGAGAGAATTAGTAGCTTGATATAAAACATTCACTTACTCGTTTTTAAGAAAACGAGATCATTATAACTGGCTAACTTGGACCTGATATTAATGATTTTAAATACTTGTAAATATTTGGTACTGCCCATACGATAAATGTTTAGGTCTTTGGTACTAAACAAGTTTACCATTGCTGAATTTTCCCATGGGAACACCTGTCATCCATATATATATCTTTTAAAAAAAATTAAGTTGGAAAAATGATAAATGTTTAGGTCTTTGGTACTAAACAAGTCTACCATTGCTGAATTTTCCCATGGGAACACCTGTCACATATATATATCTTTTAAAAAAAATTAAGTTGGAAAAACCGGGGTTTGCTTTATTGGAAAACTGACATTGCCGATCTACTTTCAAGGTGCCCTGGCCCTGTCAGACCCTGCCACTTGCATTTGGGTGCCATGTTGATATCTTTCCTGGGGAAAGTGCTCATTTTCAGTGTCGGTCCTGATTACCTCCTCTCTGTCCTGGATGACGCCCACCCACCTCCCTGCATGGCACCTCTCTCCTCCCATGAGGCCCGTCCGCCTCCCATGTTGGGCTAAGGCTAAGGACCTGCGGGGTCCCATGATTGTGAAATAAGAGACGGAGAAAGGGCTGCCTAACCATAAAGCCATGCCCCTGGTTCACCCCAGGGCCCTCTCCACATGGTGGTACAAGTGGTGCCGCCAGCTCTAGAAGCTCAGCCTCTAGAACAGTGGTTCTCAACCTCTTTAATGCCGCAACCCTTTAATACAGTTCCTCATGTTGTGGTGACCCCAATTTCATTGTTACAAATTGAACATAATTAAAGCATAGTGATGAATCACAAAAACAGTATGTAATTATATATGTGTTTTCCGGTGGTCTTAGGCGACCCCTGTGAAAGGGTCATTCGACCCCCAAAGGGGTCGTGACCCACAGGTTGAGAACTGCTGCTCTAGAAGGAGCACAGCAGGACGGCGGATGCCCGGCTCACCAGACGGAGGTTCCTCCAGGCCTGTACCTTTGTGTCAAGCCCCAGGTGATGGGAAGTGGCATCTGTCTGTGTCAGCCTACAGTGAGCGCCCCAATCTGCCCACACCCCTAAGCGCTCGTCAGAAGGGAAACGTGCAAAGGCCAGCGGCAGGCACGGTGTTGGAGGCTCGGGGTCAGGCCTTAGTTGTCCTGGGTTTAAATCCAGGCCTCCCACTTGCCAGCTCCCTGGCCCTGGAGAAGGCACTTGGCCTCTCTGAGCACAAGCGCCTCTGTGGATAAGCAGGCCAGCCATGTATCCCGGGTGGGGCCCAGGGGGCACCCAGCAAGGTCAGAGCGGAGGAAGGTCTCGGGACCTGTAACCGGTCCCAGTGCAGGAGCCGGATGTCTCCCCTGCTCCTGTGAGGCGATTCCAGTCCTGCCTCGGGCTGACTCTTACCTGTAACAATGCTCTGTAACTGACAAAAAAGCCTCAGTCCCTTGCTTTTGCCTCAGGAGTCACTTAGAAGTTCTTTAGCGCTGGCTCTAAAGGCGGTCACTGTACAGCAGCCGTGTGCCGGTCACACACCCACTCCCTCATCTGAGTCACCCCGGGCTGGGCTCCCCGGAGGACGTGGGCTACGGGAGCAAATTCCACGGGATAACAATGTCCCCCTACCTGTGAGGCGCTCTAGGGCATCAAATCCGTGTTTGAGCGCTATCACGTCAAGGAACGGGATGGTGCCGTCCTCAAACCTGTAACCAGGGTGAGGGAAGGAGTCAAGCGGGGTCGCGTCTCCACATGCATGTGTGGCATGTAATGACTCAGGCTCGGCCATATCTGTGAACACCTTCTCCCTGCTGCCTTGTAAGCATCACGCTCCTCCTCGGGACAGAGGGCTTTGCACACCCAACCCGGCGGCTGCCTCTGTCCCTGACCCACCCGCAACTTCCTCAGGGCGGGCTGGCAGCAGTGACAAAAGGCCCTCAAGACAGTCGCCATCTGAGACATGAACAAGCAGAGAAATGCGTGGCTGCCCCAGGAAGACTTTGGATTTGACAGAACCTCCAAGGCTGTGGGCTCTTGAAACGCTGCACTTGACCCCAGGAGGGCCCCACTGGCAGGGCACCGCGTCAGGGTGCCAACGGTGCCCCAGAGGCATCTTTGCAAGAGCCTGAGATTCCAAAGTCTACAGAGCACAGGCTTTTCCAAAAACGACGAGGCTCTCCACACAGCAGACGCACCTCTTCCTGATTATCAGGGGTTCGTGTGCTGGCATTTCATAATCAGTCACCAGATCTTTCTCGTGCTGGGTGCTGGGCACTGTTCTAGGTGCTCAGGATGCCGCAGTGAACGTGGCAGGTAAAACCCCTGCCCTCACGCGCTTCCATTCGCCTGAGGGCCCGGAAACAAGGCACAACAAGCAACACGCAGGCAGAGAGAAGCCAACTAAGCAACAAGCCGGTGGTGACAAGTGCGATGAAGATGCATAAAGCAGAGGGCTGGCGGCCACTCTAGAGAGGCGGTCAGGGAGGCCCTCTCTGAGGGAGACCATTTGAGCAAAGAGGCGTGGAAGTAAAGGAGTGAGGGAGGCCGCTCATTTTGAAACAGCTGAGTCCACAGCCTCAGAGAGAACAGCATCCCAGGGAGAAGACACAGCACACACCCTGAGCACAGGGAGCCTGGCACACACACACACCACCACCACCACCACC